GAAGAAATACTGGGGACAAGTTCGGTCAGTTTGAAATAAGAGGACCTCAGTTCAAGGCCTCACTCAAGTAGTAGGCGACTGAGGTCTTGTGGGCACTCATTGAGGGGAGAGCTATGAAAATACCTTGTAAATTCAGACAGCTTGACCAGAGTCTTAGGCAGAATGGTAAATGCTATTATGCCGTGCGAACTAACATTTCATAACCCTCAGATTCACGTGCGTGGTCCTTTGCTCAAGTGTTTGCAGGATGCAGGAAGGCTCCCTGTTTGGGGAGGTTCACTTTGCTCCAAGACCATATGCCCCTCTCAGCAGCTACCAGGAATGATGGGCCCGTTCTGGCCTCGTCCCTGCACCAGCGGGGGGATGGTGGCCTGTCTGCTGAGCCCCTGAGCCCCCAGCTGCCATGGAGGCCCAGCAGGAACTGATCAGCTGGGCTGAGTCACAGCACCTGGCTGGGACAAGTTGGGACGATATCTTTTCAATCACAGATATCCGGGACCTACTCAGTGCTCATCACCTTGCCAAGTTCCTAGGTGTGGGTGGCAGTCAGGTTTGGCTGGTCCTTCTCCCAAGGAGGTTCTTTTCCCAGAGGGGAGGTTAGCATATTGCCTTCAGGAATGACTGCAAGTTCTTCAGGACTGTCTATCATTTAGGGCTACATTGTTCGGCAACGTGGTAATTACTACAAAACCCAAAGTAGAGGGAGTTCAGGGATGGTTAGCAGCGTTAGAGAAGGTTTATTATTGGTTATCTGGGGGATGTTCACGAAAACATTCATTACTCCTCAGGAAAAGGAAAACTGTGTCCGCTGAGTAGCCCAACCTGGCGGCTTCCGTGGGAAAGCATGGCAGTCAAAGAGAGCCTTGGCTCAGGGTAGAACGGGATTCCAGAGGTATAGCAGGGTCAGCACGGCTGGCCAGAGTGGACATTGTCACTCAGGGGACAGAATTGTGGCTGGGAAATACAGGGACTATGAGTTCGGCTCTTGAGTTTGCATTTTAATGTCGTGTTACTTATTTCTCTTTCTGCTCCCTGAACGTTGGCCTCAAAAGGAACTCTGTCAGATATTTGCAGAATATTCACCATCAGGCAACCACGAAATTTGTCTTTGGGGACCTGCTGAGGGAGTTGGACCCTGACTTCGAGTGATCTTATAGTCTGGAAACCTGGCTCTTAACCTTAGCCTTGCAGGTGTTCTGCTCCTTGCTCTGCAGAGCGTGGTCTGTGGACCAGCAGCATTAACTGGGAGTTGGTTAGAAATGCAGACCCCCAGGTCCACTGGACTTGCGAGTCACCATCTGTGTCTTAAGGGGATTCATGGGAACATCAGAGTGTGAGAAGCACTGGCCTAAATGGCAAGCCCAGGAAAGGCATGGCTTTTCTGTTGTCTTCCTTATTATTTTGCGTCCCCAATACCTAGTTCAGGTTTAACACATGGTGGCTCAATAAGCCATGAGTCTTCCTCTGACTTGCGCATAGCGCAGGCTCTAGGGACATTGTAAGTTTCTAGGGAACTAATTGTAAAGTGGGGTGTGTGGGGGTGGGGGTTTTGAGTAGGGTTGGGGTCACCCTTTGGAGGTTGAAAAATTGAAGTGAACATTAGAACCACAGGTGGTGGGGGTGGTTTTCATACGGATGCTTTTGAACAACTCAAAACCTCCAAAGGTGGGTCAGAGGATTTGTATTTTTTTTTTTAATTTCCCACCATTTCCAAGAATGTTTATTATAGTATCACATATAATAATGAGATATTGAGATATCTCTCAAGAAGAAACAGATAGGGGCGCCTGGGTGGCTCAGTGGGTTAAGGCCGCTGCCTTCAGCTCGGGTCATGATCCCAGGATCCTGGGATCGAGCCCCGCATCGGGCTCTCTGCAGCGGGGAGCCTGCTTCCCTTCCTCTCTCTCTCTGCCTGCCTCTCTGCCTACTTGTGATCTCTGTCTGTCAAATAAATAAATAAAAATCTTAAAAAAAAAAAAAAAAGAAACGGATAAAGGGGTGTCTGGGTGGCTCAGTCAGTTAAGCATCTGCCTTCAGCTCAGGTCATGATCCCAGGATCCTGGGATCGAGTCCTGAGTTGCCGGGTGTGGTCCTTGCTCAGCCGGGAGCCTGCTTCTCTCTCTGCCTGCTGCTCCTTCTGCTTGTACTCTCTCTCTGTGTCAAATAAATAAAATCTTTTATTTTTAGATTTTATTTCTTTATTTGACAGAGAGAGACACACTGAGAGAGGGAACACAAGCAGGGGGAGTGGGAGAGGGAGAAGCAGGCTTCTCCCAGAGCAGGGAGCCTCATGTAGGGCTTGATCCCAGGACCCTGGAATCATGACCTGAGCCGAAGGCTGATGCTTAAGGACTACACCACTCAGGCGCCCCAATAAATAATATCTTTAAAAAAAAGAAGAAATAGGTAAATACAATGGAATACAAGTCAGAAGTTCAGATGAATGAAATAGAGCTGCATGTATAAACATGAATGAATCTAAAAAATGTTTTTGGAGAGAATAAAGGTGCAGAAGGATGTGTGAGGGATGGTACTATTTATTTAAAGTTTAAAGTGTTCTTATGTATGTAGTGGAAATATACATATGTCGGAAGAATGTAAAGACCTGAATGGGGATGATAACCAAGTTCAGGGTGTTGGTTAATTTTGGGAGGGAGGAAGGGAAATGGGTGGAAGCTTTAATAGTCCCTTCATGTTTTATTTATTTAAAAAAGAAAGAGTAAAGAAAAAAAAAGTTGCAGCAGAAAACATGGAAAAATAAGATTTTCCCCAAAGGAATGGATACATAATTATTCGTGGTACTGTTTTCTATAATTTTTCTGAATGTCTTAAATATTTCATTATAAAATGACTAAAACAAAGTCTCCTGGTGATTGTGATGCAGGCAGGTGACTTCTGGGAATTCTTGCCCTAGATGCTTCTAGGGGCTTTTCAGTTCTAAATGTGTTTGTGTGCAGAGAATTCATCCCCAAGTGCCTCTCTTATTCTTTTTTTTTTTTTAAAGATTTTTATTTATTTATTTGACAGAGATCACAAGTAGGCAGAGAGGCAGGCAGAGAGAGAGGAGGGGAAGCAGGCTCCCCGCTGAGCAGAGAGCCCAATGCAGGGCTCCATCCCAGGACTCTGGGATCATGACCTGAGCTGAAGGCAGAGGCTTTAACCCACTGAGCCACCCAGGCGCCCCGCCTCTCTTATTCTTGTAGATGGTTGATATCTGTCAGGCTGTGCTCAAGCCTGTGGTTTTTCTGTATTCTGTCCCAATGAGATGCAGCCACATATGTTGGTGATGTTGGCAAAACTCGACTCTGAGGACCTCGCCTACAAGGGCCTCTTCCGTGTTGTCTCCTTCTCTCCTTTATTAAAGGAGAAGTTGTATCCTAGAACTACCATAATCTTAGAGCTCTAACCGCCTTCCTTCCCATCCCCAAGGTGTGTTCATTTTCAGAACACCTTCCCTGACCTACAGTCGTAGGGCTTAGTATGCTTGTGGATCTCAAGAGTTTTCTTTGCCTACCCTAGGCATCACCTTTTGCAATCAGTTCTCCAGTTGTTGTATCTGCTTTTGTAACTTTCTTTCTATACCAGAAGTGTCCCTAAAATTTAATCAATAAAGATGACACTATTAGTCTGTAACTCAGGAAGCTTAAGAAAGATGAAATGGTTCTAGCAGCTGGTGCCAAAGGGGACTTTCATATTTAATTTAATTTTGTTGTTATTATTTTGTATTAATTATTTTTATTAACATATAATGTATTATTAGCCCCAGGGTAATAGTTCTGTGAATCGGGAGGCTTACACACTTCACAGCACTCACCATATCACATTGTTATTATTTTTTAATGTAGTCGGTAGTGGTAGTTCTAAACCAAGGATGATTCCCTCCTCCATTCCCCCAACCCAGGGACATTTGGCAATCTAGAGACATTTCCAGTTTCCAAAACTAGGGAAGTGCTACTAGCATTGAGTAGGCGCTAAACATCCTTTAAAACACAGGAAACTGCCCCCCTCCCCCGCATAACAAAGAATTATCTGGTCCAAAATGTCCATAGTGCCGAGATTGAAAAAACCCTGTTCTACATACCCTCATACCATGAACATCCCCCTATCCGTGAGGGAGAGAGGTTGGGGCTGTACCTGTGGGACTGTGGAACAGGGGATCCAGGAGTCCCTGTGAATGTGTGTGTAGACCATTCCTGTATCATGTTCACTGCATGGTGTGGGCTAGAGACTCAGTGGTGTTGGACTCAGTGGAGACTCAGTGGAGATGGAGGATGAGAAGAAATTAAGGGAAAACTGCAGAGGAACAGTCTAAGTGGTGGGGAGAGCAGAGGGAAGCGGCCTCTGATGCTTTTGAACTTGGCACCTTGCTATAAATAGTACCCTCATGCTGTAGAAATACAGGATAGTGTGTTTAAAAATATTCCCAATGAAAAATGTGGTAGATAGTTCCAGTGATGGCCTCTAGTGATCTGCACTGACCTCCACCCACATTTGTCTGCTGTGATTTTGCCATTCCTCTCGTCAGGAGGTAGAGTCCATTTTTCCAGCCCATGCCTCTGGGCTGGCCTTGTCACTTGCTTTGACCAAAAGAATGTGGAGGGAGTGTTGATGTGCGACTTCTGAGGCCATTCAGCTTTGGTTTTCCTCCCTGTTAGCGTCTTTCTGGCATCCTGGGAAGAATGTCAGCCTGCCGCAGTCTCCGAAGGAAGGATCCAGGCGTTCAGCTGGCCCGGCCCCACGTAGCTCCCAGCCAACCTTCCAGCTCAAGGAGCTCACATGAGATGAGCTTGTGTGCCTAGCCAATCCACAGGGTAGTGCAGAATAATAAATTGTAGTTATTCGAAGCCTCTAAACTTTGGGGTAGTTTGCTCCCCAGCCACAGGTGACTGGACATTGTATGTAAGTGACTTCATCGGAAGCAGCAGATGATGGATCTGCCCGAGGATATTGGGTAACTCTCAGGTCATGGTTAAGACTTCTTCCTCTTTTGTGTCTCGTAGCACTTCTCAGAACTCCTGGATGAGTTTTCCCAGAACGTGCTGGGTCAGCTCCTGAATGACCCTTTCCTCTCAGAGAAGAGTGTGTCGATGGAGGTGGAGCCGTGCCCGACATCCCCCGCGCCTCTCATCCAGGCCGAGCACAGCTACTCCCTGTGTGAGGAGCCTCGGGCCCAGTCACCGTTCACCCACGTTACCTCCGGTGACAGCGTCAATGACGGTAAATCCAGAGCAAGAACGGCACTGGGGACCATGGCTCTGGGCTCCTTGGGGGTGCGGAGTGTGTGTTACACTCTTGTCGGCCCCCACTTTAGTCCCATATGTGCTCCACGTAAAGCCTGGGGCTGGGGCTGTGGGGAAATGCAAAGGGGCGGGGGGCACATTTCTTTACCCCTGGCCAGGTGGTCTGGGAACTTGCTGTCACTGAGTGGTAGTCGTTGCTTTCTTTGACCCTGTGGATGGGGCAGCAGGGCATCTTTTTGCAAATCAGGTGGGCTTTTCTGGTTGATAATTCCAGGAAACCCGTCGTTTTAACAGGTCATGTCATTTTTTTTTTTTCCTGAGGAAGAATTTTTCTGACCGTTCTTCTCCTCAGATCCTTCTTGGGCACCCTGTCAACCCACATTCAGTCCGGTCCCTTGACCACATGCATATGAGATTTTGGTGAGCGTTCCCAGGGCACCGAGCCTTCTGGGTGACCCTTTCTTGCTGATCGCCAATGCCATCTGTATGATATTTGTTCAAGATCTAGTTTTCTTGGCTTAGAGTGTTAAGCTGTTTGCCCATTTGTCTGGAGAGTGACTGTCTTCCATGGCTGAACTCCTATATCACATATGATCAGTGCCTTAAAGTGTAGCCATTCATTCACCTAGTGGTTCTTGAGTTCACAGGTGAGACAATGAAGGAAATAGAAAAAAAAAATGTAGGGTGCCTGGGTGGCTCAGTGGGTTAAGCCTCTGCCTTCAGCTCAGGTCATGATCTCAGGGTTCTGGAATCGAATCCCGCATCGGGCTCTCTGCTCCGCAGGGAGCCTGCTTCCTCCTCGCTCTCTCTGCCTGTCTCTCTGCCTACTTGTGATCTCTGTCTATCAAATAAATAAATAAAATATTAAAAAAATAAGTTTAAAAAAAAAAGGAAAAAAAATGTACACCTTGCTCTCCTAGAACCTATCCTCTGGGGAACATGAGAAATGTATACAACCAACAATAAAATTGTTGAACATATGCTAAGGGTGGGATGAAGGTGATGTATTCTGCAGTCAGACCTCACTTTAAGATCTATGTCAGGGACCAGTTAGAGGCAGGCTACTTAATGTGGTCAAACCCTAGGTTCCTTGTGCGTAAAAGTAGGACAAGTCAGCGTTGACTCCATGTCTTGTTGTGAAGATTAAACATGAGACTCTGCACCAGCGCCTAACCCGGGACCTGACTCATAGTAAGATATTGTTCTTAGCTGCTGTTGCAATTCTATTATTCCAAACCAGGAGCTGTAAGAGGCTGGCAGGACCTTAAGTGATCAGGAAGTTTTGGGGGAGGATTTCTCAACTTCCCAGGCTGTGTGCTCCTATGACGTATGATAGTGGGTTCCTACCCGTCGAACTTACTGGGGGATTATTTTCTTTTTGTTCGTTTATTCTTCATACGTCTGTTACACTCAGCAAATGTGCTTGAGATTATAATCTTTAAGAGCACAGGGACAAACTACAAATCTAATGCAGCTGGTTTCTGGGACTAATGAGTGGAAGTATTTATCTGGAGGGTAATTAGGGTACTCATAAAGTCAGGACTCCAAGGAGTTAGATGGGATGAAGGTATTAAAAGATTCAAGAAGAATATTCACTTCTGTTCAGATTCATTCCCTATTACAAAATCTCAAACAGTCCCTCATTGTTCTGTAGAATGAAACCAACCTTTGAGTGTGGCTTTTGAGGTCCTTTGTGGGCTGGGCTCATCCTCCCTCCCTCCTCCACCTTGTCCCATTGCTCCCTGTCTGTGTGGCTCTGGCAGTGACTTTTCCATGCCACGCCTGACACTGCCTTCCCTACTCAGAGTTTCCATTGCCTTCTCTCACCCTCTTGTCGACCCCACTGGTCACATTCCCACTGATCCCTCAAGACTCAACCCAGTGTCATCCAGACTCTCCCCCCTGGACGTTGTCAGCCTTTATGTTTTCATAGCACCGTTTTTGTTTGTTTGTTTATTTCATTTTTGCCATTTTTGTAGAGACTGTCACACTTGCCCTTATATTTCAGCCATTATTTATTTTTCTGTTCTCTATTTGGAGCTGGCTGTGAGCAAGTGTGATTATGTGTTCCTGGTACTTGCTTGGTACTCGGAAGGTATCTGATGAGCAGTTACTTCATTGAATGAATTGTGCAGTCAGTTGTTAAGGGAGAAGATGTGGAAGACGAAGCACATTCCTCATCTCTGGTGATGGTGTCAGGGAAGACACCTGCTCTCCTCTTCCAGGCATTGCTAGGTCTCTAATGATGCTGGTACACTGGGCTGGGTGCATTCGATCAGGTGGTATTTCTTGGCTTCTAGCAGCTGTCTTGTGTAGAAGCAAACATTGGAAGAAAAAGTAGATATTTTATAAATGCTTTATAATTCACTCTTCAAACTCACGTCATAGCGATCTGTTGAGTAACTACTTTGTACTTCACCTGCCAGGGACTGTCCTAAGCATTGAGGGTAAAAGAGTAAACACAGTGAACAAAGATCTCTGCCCTTGTAGAGTTTATGCTCTAGGAGATAAGGGTGGAGTAGAAAATGAGAAAAGGAACGAAGTAAAATATATGGTTTATTAGATGGTGATGAGCGATATACAGAAAAATAAACCAGGAAGAGGGGTAGGGCATTGCTGGAGGAGGTGGGCAGGTATCTTAGTCCATTCAGTCAGCTTTAACAAAAATCCCAAAGACTAGATAGCTTATAAACAACAGAAATTCCTTCCTTACAGTTCTAGAGGCTGGACGTCCCAGATTAGGGTGCCAGCAGGTTTGGGGGAGAGCCCTCTCCGGTCGCTGACTTCCTGTGCTTTTCTTGCATGGTGAAAGGGACAAGGGAGCTCACTGGGGTCTCTTTAATAAGGGCATGGTTTCCATTTGTGTAGGCTCCACCATGACTTAAGCACTTTCAAAAGGCCCTCCACCTGATACCATCACACGGGACATTAGGGTTTCAAAAGAAGCATCTGCGGGGAGCACAAACATTCACACCATAACAGGTGAGGGGGAACTGAAATCTTAAATAGGAGAAACAGAGCCTTCTTGGAAGGTAAGGTCTGAGCAAAGATCAGCAGGAGATGAGAGAAAGAACTAGATGTGTCAGGAAGAGGCTTCCAGGCAGAGGAAACAGCAAGAACAGAGGGCAGAGGCTGTGTGACTTGAGTCCTAACCACAAAGCCACACTTAGAGTGAGACCATTAGCGTCTGTGGGGTTGTCAGCCCCTCTGTGGCCTGGCTGTTCTAGAATACGCAGGCTAGAGAAGGCCTCTCGATGATCGAGGCAGACTGACTTTCCCCTCAGTTCCGCGGATGTTTGCTGAACACCTGCTGTGTGTCAGACACCGTCCTACAGACTTAAAGGACACGGCAGTGAAATTTAGATCCTACCGCTAAGTAACTCAGGGTCTAGTGAAAATGCCACGTACCCCCCGTACTTTACCAGACAGAATATAAGCAACGTCCCAAGGGGAAATGAAACTGGAGGAGTTCAGGGCAGAGGGAGCACACGTGCACGGAAGGTCATAGGAAAGGATGCATAAATGAGACAGAGCTTCCGGGGGCCTGGATGTGTTGAAGAGAGTTGAAACAGTGGGAGTGACTGGAGGAAAACGGAGGGAGGCCTGAGGGCTAGGACATTGATTCTTCTGAAGCAAGATCTCTAGCGAAATGACTGCAAGTAAGCAGGTTTCCTTCTCTTCTATGATGAAACGATTTCTTTGTATTTTAATTGTGATTGATAGAAATGCAACGTAGGGGAACTCCGCGTAGGAGTGCCATCTATGCCAATCGTGTTGGGGAAAAAGATTCAGGGAGTCTTTTCCATGAAGCCTTTCTTATCATTAGGCCAAAGCACACACCTTTCAGTGCCCTCACCTCCTGCCTTGTTCTATGTATAGATCCTGAGCTGCAGTAGACCTGTGCTAGTAATTTGCTGAGAACAGTTAATAGTGAGTCAAATATATTTTGCAAAGGGTTTCTGACCCACAGTTCATGTTCAAATATTGGTATTTCTCTGAGTTAAAGCCACCTTTCTCAGCCAGCAAAAGCCCTTGTATCAGTAGGGAATAGTGAACAAGAAGAGTAACTATTTGGACTGCGAAATCACAGTTAAACACCGTACATGAGTAGACGGGGAACTTGCCCAGGAAAGCTTTGTCTAGGTCTTAGCTTCCAGTATTTTTCTGAGTTTTATGTGAAGGGGCAAATGTTTGGGAACAGCATTGTTTTATTCATTTGAACCCCAGTTTGCATCTGCCTCGAGGGAGGAGCAATCCCAAGGACTTACCCCCCCCCACACACACACCTTGTACCATGTGTTCTGTCCTTCTCCCTGTTGGAGAAGGGCGGTAGCTGTTTAAGGCAGTGAATCACGAGGCAGCCTTTAAAAAATTGCTGTTCACATTAAATTTAATACTTTTTCTCTTGCATTGGGAAAACAGCATAAGCAGAACTAGGAGTCCTTATTTCTAGTGGTGGATAGTGAGGCCGTTACTTCATTGTACCTGGGAAAGCCAGTGATTCAGAGCTCCTTCTTCAGTTTTCCTTAGATGAACTGGAATTCTTCTATAGTAGCCTCTAAACCTAAAAGAAAGTGACACACAGTTTGAGTGCCCTGTCCTAGTTTATTAGGATTTTTCTCCCTCTTTCTCCCCTTTACCCTCTCTTCTTCTGTCTCCCACTTCTTCTTCTTTGTCCTTCCTTGTTTTCTCCCTGCTTATTCTCTCTTCTCCCCCAGCCCTCCCTCCTTGAACCCTAGGCCAGTTACATGGGGCATATGTAGTGAGTGCTATTCTTCTTGTTAACTTATCATGGACCTAGATGGACTGTAGATCCCTAAAATGGTATACAACATTTGGGGCTCTATCTACTTTTGTCAGTTTTTCTGCTGAGAGCATTTATTTTTTTTTTTAAACATTTTATTTATTTATTTGAGAGAAGAGAGAGACAGTGAGAGAGAGCATGGCAAGGAGAAGGTCAGAGGGAGAAGCAGACTC